GGGGGAGATAAAGACGAAAAAAGCGGAAGTTAAATTTTCGGTTTCCTTATTTATATTCAAAACTTTAGATCCAAAATTCCAATAAAAGAGCCCACACAACAATAAACATTCAAGATTTTCAAAAGATCCAATGTTCCAAAATGTAGAAAAACTACATTGTGCCAATCTCGCATCTCATATCCACAAATAAGGTCTCACCGCCACCTCATTCCACCCTGTTTCACCTCCATTTTAAAAATCTAATTTACATCTTCCCCGTTCGATTTCGAATTTGTATCTCATTTACGTTTTTTTTAACTGTACGGGCCCCTTCTCTTCCACGCTTATCTTTGGAGATACAACCATATTATTTTCTGTCGTGGTTTTCTGATGGAGATGTGAAGCTCAGTTGATAACGTGCTACACCACAGCGCAGATGGCCCTGGTTCGAATGCTACTAGACGTCCTTTTCCTTTAATCATTAGTTATTCTGGACGTTTCTGCTCTTTAGTTTTCAAGGCTCTCCAACCAGTGTCGGTGGTGTAACGGTTCGATGCTTCACCTTTGTGTGCAGAAGACTCGAGGTTGATTCCCGTGTGGGGAGAATTTTTATCGAGTATCTGAGTCTCTTAGTCGGAAAGATGCATCATTCTCCGCCCGGATTGACCCTGATAGGCAAGTCCAAAGCCCACTTAGTAAATGATCTAAACACCTACATTAAAAAAAAGGTTCTCCGCCTCTTTATTTGGTCCAATCGGAGAAAGATGCTAGAATCAAAGGTCGCGATTTTAAATAAACTCACCAAATTGAAAGGAGTGTTTTAAACCCAAATAATTTCCCTATATTGTTCCTGCCTATCTGTTTTGATTTTCCCTTGCATTATAATATGGCTATTATAGTGTCAACGTGCTTATTCAAACAAATTAAAATAGCTCAGTGGTGGGATGGGATCTAGTGGGGGTGGTGGATGGTTGATAGTCTCGTATTGAAGATGTATTACTTTTGTAATTATTGAAGACCCTTCCTGTGTGTTCGGGGGGCTACCAATTGCAAAGTGACAGGGTGGAGAAATGATGATAATGAAATGTGAGGCAGCGTGGTGGAATCAGGCTCTCGTCAAAATAATCAAAGTGAAGAAACTTGCATTTTTCCGCAGGTTTGTGAATTTTTATCAAATTTTTGTTTTTTGGCTCAACACCTTTCATGCCCATTAAAGAACTCATTTCTGTAAAGATTTTTCTTAAAAACGTTGATGAAACTCACAAAAAAATGTAAATTTTCAGTTACCATGGACTCTTAAACTAAGGTAATAACCAATCGTTGGCGGCCATTTTCTCATTAACTTTACCTCTGAAAAACGGTGACCCCATCTCCTTCATTCGCAAATATCTCGACTTGTACTCAAGATAAATGGATATGATTTTCATTGAAATAAAGACAAGTGAACAAGCTTTAAGATGACACCAATAACTCTACATGCCCGAAAATTGACGAGAGCCTGATTCCACCACGCTGCCTCACAAATGGCTTGCTAACTGTCTCGCTACGAGAGAAGGGAAATCTCCGCAAATGAAAAGAACAAAGCAAACATTGATGGATAGACGCGGCAGGGGTTGTTAATAATAACTGGACATGGTGTGCAGACCGGAGTATCTGTCGCTCAGAGGAACACACGAGTGGGGAGACCTCAGAGTACGCCCCACGACTATAATTGTCCTAGTGATTATAATATTATGTCGTTTATTCTCGAAAACGTTATAATCATCATTGTCGTCATCACTATATGTATCACCTCCCCCATCCCCTATTCCTCCTTCTGATAATCTTAATTCTTCTTCTTCTTCTTCTTCTTCTTCTTCTTCTTCTTCTTCTTCTTCTTCTTCGCTTCCAAAACAATCGGGTTTATATAAGATTTTCATATATTGCAGGACACATTTCAATCGCGAAGTGTGACCTAGATAAGAAAACAAAAGATTAAAAAAGAGATCCCAACGATGTCTTCGGTTCAAATTTCAATCTAGTTTGAACACAAGTACTTCGTGTATCGTCTCATGCAAAGAAATCAGTATAAGCTCGCCTTTGCAAGTCCTTTCTGGTCCTGAAAGGGTCAGTCCAAATGGTCAGCAGCTTCCTGCTTATTACGTCCCGGGAAGTAGAATTTCCCTGGGGAGTTCATGACCCCAGAAATCGTGACTAGGTCCATCCCAGTGTCAGGTGCTGTGCGCTGCACAGCATTGGCTTTTCACGGTCTTTGATATAGTGTGGCACAGTATGGTATGGTATGGTATTGTATGTTATGATATTGTATGGTATGGAATGAGATGGTAAGGTATGGTATGGGTTGGGATAGGGTTCGATGGGATGATATGGTATGGTATGGTATAGTATGGTATGGTATGTGATTGGATGGAATGGACAGGGATGGGATTGGATGGGATGGTATGGTATGGTATGATGTTATGTGATATGATATGGCACGGGATGGGATGGGGTGGGATGGTATGTTATGGTATGTTATGGTATGGTATGGTATGGTATGGTATGGGATGGGATGGGATGGGATGGGATGGGATAGGATAGGATGGTATGGTATATGGAATGAGATGGTATGGTATGGTATGGTATAGCATGATGTAGGAAAGGATGGGATGGGATGGTGTGGTGTGGTGTGGTGTGGTATGGTATTGGAATGGGATAGGATGGGATGGTATGGTGTGTTGTGGGATGGGATGGGATGGGATGGGACAGTATGATATGGTACGGTTTGGTTTGATAGTATGGTATTAGATGGGATGGAATGGGGGGGGGGGGATAGTACTGGTTAGCACTGCTTTCAACCCTGTACGGCTATCCAAATACGCATATTCTCTCTTTGGCGCCCATCTCCGATAAAACAGTGACACGGGAAGAGTAAGCCTGAAAACTCAGCGAAGAACTAAAGTTCAAGTACACCCCATAATGGTTATGTCGAAAGAGTTGATCTGGATAGACAGATAGATGGATAGATAGATAGATAGATAGATAGATAGATAGATAGATAGATAGATAGATAGATGTGCTAATAAATCGCTGTACGACACAAGCCGTGTTATTTTAAAGCAGGAAGAGGGGAGAGAGAAAGAGAGAGAAAGAGAGAGACAGAGAGAGAGAAAGAATAAGAAAAAGGTACATCACTCAAAAAGAGGAGGATATGTAGAAAGAAAGAGAGAAAGAGAGAAAGACAGAGAGAAAGGGGGTGTAGAGAAAGATAGATAAAGATAGAGAGAGAGAGAGAGAGAGAGAGAGAGAGAGAGAGAGAGAGAGAGAGAGAGAGAGAGAGAGAGAGAGAGAGAGAG